GGGAAAATGGCGGCGGCGAAAGCGCATGACGTGGGGATTGGGAAAGTGAACCAGAGGCTTGAGTTTGCGCAGCTGTACGGTATGGCGGAGTCGCTGTCGTTTGGGCTGAAAAACGCAGGGTTCCAAGTGAGCAAGTATATGCCGTTTGGCCCTATTGATATGGTCATGCCTTATTTACTTCGGAGGGCTGAAGAGAATAGGGGTCTCTTGTCTGCTTCCACAGTTGACAGACAACTCATGAGGTAAGGGTTCTGTATTATATTTATATACACACGTGTGTGCGTGTGTATATATTTATATATATATATATATATATATATATTCGTGTATTCATTTTGACTAAATCTAACGTTTAGAAATATCCTACCGTAAAAAGCTCCGAACTAGTTTAACGTGGTTTTGTTTTGCGACTATCCTCTTAACAGGAAGGAGTTAAAGAGGAGACTAAAAGCAGTGATCCTGTGAGGCGCGGCACACGGGGGCAAAATTCATTTGCTGCCAATGTTTGTGCAGATAGGATAAATATGTGGTTGGTGGTGACTTTTCACTATCTACGTGATGGAAAAATGTGTTTGCTTTGGTTAATGCTCTTAGGTCGTGTCATGAATGGTAATTATGGAAAAAAGAAGAGAAAAAAAAAAAAAACAAGGAAAAGACTACTTCCTATTGTGTAGTCTACCAGAAAAATAAAATTAAAATCTTTACTGTAAATTATTTGTCCCACCTTGTCAACGTTTATAAATATTATCATTCTGTGTCGCAGAATAGCCGCCACAAGTTAGGTTTGACTATCATGAATTGGGATTTGATTAATAATTAATTCGATAGAGCACTGTTATTGAAATGAACAATCATAGTTACTGTCACATGTCATTTTCTAATTATTTTTCTTAAAAGAAAAAAAAAATAGTAGTAATGATCATATTCGGTGATAACAAGTGTTTTTTTTTTTTTTTTTAACTAATGTTCATGGCCAGTATTTAACTATTGGTGAGCCAGAAATATTTTCAAAGAGCGTAAATTGAATTAAAAAAATTTTGAACTAAAACGACAATACAATAATTTTTTAGCTTTAGTTATCTATTTGTATATTTGATTTTTCCTAAATGAACTTAGCTACAGAGTTTAAAACATTATGCATTTATTTTGAAGTGTAGTTGATTTTAATTTGTTTGAGATTCTAGTGTACGTTTGGTTCATGAATTTAGAATTATTCTCAGTTTACGTGTGTTTTTTATAAGAGAAAATACTGTAACGAATCACGGAATATGAATTCGAATCATGATACAAATCCACCAACTAAACGTAAATGAGTAAATAAAAGTCAAACTTAGGGTATAATTGAGTTGTTCTTAAAAAAATATGCAACATATTGCAATTAAAAAAAATCTCTGGGCAAATAAAGGAAAGAATTATAAAAACTTTTTAGATTGAGGGTCAAAATATGAAAAGCCCAATGGCCTGACCCCCCAGGCCTGCTATAGCTTCGCCCCTGATCGTTAAATCTGGTACATTAAATTAAAAAATATATATAAAATAAATAATTTTTTATATAAATTTAAAAATAAAAAATAAAAAATTATCTATAATTTATTTTTTTTGTCCTACCTTTTCTAAATCTATTGCCTATCAAATCATGTGAAATAAAGCGATTTCTAAAGATTCTTTTTTGGCCATATCGTTGACGAAATTTATTTACGCAAGCTATTTTTGCTTTTTCGGTTGGACAAGAACTTTCTGATTACATATTAAATTAGGGTTTTTGTTTGATCCCTTTGAAAAGACCGTCTTTCTAATGTAACATGACAAATTATTAAACGTGAATATTATGTTTAATAATTATTATATTATGTTTTAATAACAATATATTACATCGGAGGGACCTCCCATTAAGAGATCAAAGAAAAGTCTATTAAATTAGTAGTTGGAAATCTGTAAATGAATGAGATATGAGGATAAGAACTGATGGTGGAATGACGTGGATGGAAAATCTTTTGCCTTATTGGCTACGCAGATGAGTCCAGTATTAATCCAATACCCCCTCAAAAAGAGAAGGTTGAAGAGACCAAATAAAGCAAAATTTTTTAAAATAGGTTGAAGAAACCAAATATATATTATGGACGGAACCCAAAGTTTTTTCAAATCTGATTCGATTAAGAAGGTTCCAGAGATAGATGGCATTAAATAATTTTTGTATAATGCCACATGATGTAGTCATTTTCCAATGGGAAGGGATATCATAATCTATTGCATTAAAAACTAGTAAGGATATGGGTTATGCGTGTGCTTCGCAGGCGAGTAGATTTGGTGTCTGGTAGTCATGTGCAATGTTCTATATTGTTAGACTCAAATTATCTTTTCCATTTGTCTGTTCTGCTGTCTAAAAAATTCAAAAAAATATAATTCGGGTTTTAATTTTATTCAAATTTATGTTCTTTTAAGTTTGAACTCAAGTTTGGGACTAAAATTCGACTTCAAGTGTCCCATTTAACTCGAGTTCAGAAACTCAAATTTAAATTAATGAACAATATTTTTTATATTCTTAAAAATGCTATAACTTTTTCGTTTTAATCTTGATTGAGATGATTTTTTTTCTATGCGTTGACAACGAAAAGACGAATAAAATTCCACTCATATATCCTATTAAAATTTTTCATCACCATTGAGTTTTTATTAAAATACTATCCAAATATAAATTTAAAATTTTGACTCGCTCAAACACAAACACAAAAAAAAATCTTATCTCAAATCATAACTCAAAAGTACACAACCAAATACAAACTTAAGTTACAACTTTAACTCAGTTATAACTCAAATTCTACTAAAAACTACACTCAAGTCACACTCCAAAAGAATAGGCTCGTGTTTCAATTACTATTTAATCAATCACATAATAACATATCTTGTAATTGATTTAAATATCAAAACATAAAAAAATTAGTAAATCAAAAGACGTGATACAATTTGATTGATTAGATACTATGTTAGAAGTGATTTGAATCCTATACTGTTCTATACCAAATGATTTTTTCCCATAAAAGAAGAAAGAAAAAAAAAGTAATTGAATTTTGCATAGCAATAAGAACTAAAAATCAAGGAATGAGCTCCATGCATCACATAAAAGAATGATAAGATTTTTATTTTGTACTTTTTGGATTTAACTCAGTCTTGTTATAGCATACCCGAGTCATAGGCAATTCCATTTATAATGAACAATTGGTATACCATGCGGAGATATTTTCTCTCTAAAGTTAACCGAGTATTAAAATAATTCGTAGAACTGTTGGTTATTAAATATGCATCGGTCTTATTTTGATCTCCTGATCGTCACTTCTAGAGACATAATTACTGTGACTTTTATGAAATGCACAATTTTGACCCCCTCCTTTAAGAAACTAACTTTTTTTCGAGCAAAATCTAACACAAAAATGATATGTGAGTATTTTAGGAGAGATAAAATGATAAAAAAATAATAATAAAGGAAAAAAAATAGTTAATGTATCTTTAAGAGTGTTCTTTTATTCTTGATAAATATAATTTTATTAATATAATTATTTAACTAAAAAAGTTATGAATTAAGAATAAATAGTAAAAAAATGTTAGAGAGATTGTAATATATCTCTCAATTTCGATATCACAAAAATTGGTTTAAAACACATTCGGGAAGAGTGGGCGGACACAAGCGCGCGCTGCAGCGCACGGACGTGCTGCAGCGTTTCTTGGACGCTGCAACCTGCGCAAAACAGACCTCTCGGGTCTGTTTTACTAAGCCTGCGCGCTGCAGCGCACGGACGCATTGCAGCGCACTTCTTGGGCGATGCAGCGCAAATTGTTAACGGAAAATGTGTTTTCATGTGTTTTAGTGATCTGAAAAGGTCTCGAACCATTACATCTATTTGTGATAAGTTTTCTCACATATCTGAGCACTTATTAACAATAGAAATAACTATTGATATAAGTGCATCAGCGTATAAAAGATAACCTTCAAATTGAAAAGGTATATTTATGTGAAAGGTTGTAACAATTAAGGAGAATGGATGCATCCCTGTCTTTATTTGATGGACTTCAGAAAATACAGATTGTTAATTGTTCTGGAACTCAATATTTTTGCTGGATATTGTGTTCAAGGGTTTGTTGTATCTTGGGGGTAATTTACCATTTTAAAACTCGTTAGCAAACTTTGAGAAGTGAGGGCAAATAAAACCTTAAAGGAAAGTATTCCTATACGCCTCAAACCCTCTTTTTGTTTTTCTCTATTCTTTTCATCCTCCCAATTCTGAATTTTCTCCATCAATCTTTAAGGTTTTAATTTGTTGCAATGGAGGTTGAAAAGAACATGACGTCTTTCCTCAATCCTAATGTTCAACTTGATTGTTTTGATGGTACCAACTTCACCCGCTGGAAAGGAAAGTTGTTCTTCCTTCTCACCGTGCTTAAGATCACCTACGTACTTGATCCGAAATTGGAGCCTCTTCCTGAACCAAAAGAGGATGATTCTGAAGAATTGAACACCGCAAGGAAGAAGCGAGGAGATGATGAAATCATGTGCCAACACTCTCTCTGATAGGCTCTACGATCTTTACAACTTGATGGAGTCTCCGGTGAAGATTTGGAACGCTCTCGAATACAAATACAAAATTGAGAAGGAAGGTACGGACAAATTTCTCATCTTGAAATTTCTAGAATTTGTCATGGTTGATACCAAGTCCGTTCTAGATCAGATACATGAATTGCAAGTCATTATTACTAAACTTCGTGAATTGAAGGTTGCCTCAAAGTTGGAATGGTTATAGAAAGAAACTCCTTCATAGGAGAGATGACATAACTTTGGAGGAATTACAAAAACACTTGAGAATCGAAGAAGAGACTAAGTCTCGTGATTCCAAGAACAAATATGTAGATTCTTCTAAAGTTAATGTTACCGAAGCTAGTAAGTTTTCAAAGAACTTCAAAGTCAATAATGACAAGAAGTTCAAAAAGCTCGGTAATGGCCAAAAGAAATTTTCTGGAAATTGTTTCTTTTGTGGAAAGAAAGGCCATCGCCAATCCTCCGATTGGTGGCTTGATTCCGGTGCCACAATCCACGTTTGTAATGACAAGACTATGTTCTTATCTTACAAAGTGGAAAAGGAAGGACAAACTGTTCTCATGAGGAACAATGATGCAGCGATGGTTGCCGGGAGAGGAGTGGTGGAGATTAACTTTACTTCCGGAAAGAAGCTTACATTGAACAATGTACTTCATGTTCCTGAAATTAGGAAAAATATTGTATCTGCTAGTCTTATGTGTAAGAATGGGCTTAAGATTGTACTTGAGGGCAATAATTGTATTGTATCTAAGAATGGGATCTTTGTGGGAAAAGGGGTATTCTTGTGATGGCATGTACAAACTAAGTGTTAATAATAAAGATGATGTGAATTCTCTTTATATTGTTGATTCTTTTGATGTTTGGCATGCACGTTTAGCACATTTAAATTTTAGATCTTTTGAAATACATGTCTAAACATGGTTTGATTAATTGCAAAGATATTAAAAATGATAAGTGTGAGATTTTTATACAAGCAAAGATGACTAAGAAACCTTTTCCTAGAGCCGAATGTAATACTCAAATATTGGATATGATTCATACCGATATTTATGAGTATAATGGTATTTTGACTAGAGGAGGAAAGAGATACTTTATCACTTTTATTGATGATTATTCTAGATAC